TTTTTTTTGGTAAATTTGAAATTGACGGACATTGAGATAGCTTACCTGATTTTTGAGTATTCGAACTATAAAAAACAAACTTAATAAGGAAAGAGAGGTTCAAATAAATGTATAATCGTCCTCTAATACCTCACCTCGTCTATAAGTCCTCAAATTAGACTACCACCAGTCACTATGATAGTTTGAAAAATATGTAACATGACCAGCATAATCTGGGCAAATCTAATTTTTCTGATTCACCTACAAGTCTTTCATAAGATACCGTACATATTTACATTTGGCTTCTAGCATATTTTGATCTTTGAACGCAAAGTAGTATTAGGTAAAAGTAGCGCATTCTAGGCTTACCAACTTTCATTTCTCGAGCCCGGTATGCGTGTTCGGATACATCCGTTGAAAGGTGAGTTCTCAGGATATTTATCTACCCTTCTTCTAATAGTTTTTAGAAAGATTCTGCTATAGTATCACCTTACTTTTCCAGCCCAATAATTTTGATGAATTTTTATGTTTTTAGGACGACCACATTCCGTGTTCTTCAACCAGTGCTCGATGAAGCTTATAGAAACTGTTGACTCAGGGATTCCCGAACTTGAACCCGATCCGGACAATTATGAGGTCAATCAACTACCAAGAAGCATAAAAATAATTTCTGGATTCATTTAAATATATTTTTACAGGACTATGATACCTTTGCCCGACGCTATGCAAAATGGGTAATTGGACTCGATTGGACGGGCTATATAGACATGTGATTGCATAATACATTATTGACCCTTATGATGATTGCATAATAAATTTTGTCAAATTTATAGAGGAAAGAAGCATCGCATTGGGAAGCTGTTTTCCACCGACGTCAGCTGAACGGAAAAAACACAAATACATGGCACTACACAGGAATTTAGATAGTTTATTATTGAAACTAGACAGTTCTTTTTCTAGAATAGAAAGCCTCCCCTCAAACTATCGCCTTAAGAACAAAATTCACTTACGCAATTATAGCCACAAATTCGCTTACCTTCCCCATTGTTATCTCATGGTTATCTATTCACTTATATCATCGCAAAAGTGATAAAGATGGATACATATGAAAGAGTAACTTGGGATAAATTATAAAAATGTACTACGAGATAAACGTAGTGTTGTACTTGTACTAGATTTACGCACGTACTATCTGGTTGAGATGAATTTTTACAAAATTCAACCATCAAAATATAAATTCTGTCACATCTTGCACTCTTGGAGTCCAGAAGCTGTGGTATTCATCGAAACGACGAACATGTTTCCCACAACATCTTACCTTATCTTTTATTCATGCTCAACGATTTACAACAGTTCAGTCAGAAATAC